GCGCGCGCACACACACACACACACACACACACACACACACACACACACACACACACACGCACATGCGAGCGCACGCTCGCACGCACGCACTCACGTGGGTGCCCACCAGTACACTCGTGCACATATGCACGCACACCACGATGAGCAACAGTCGGAACGGGCCGAAAATGAACGCAAGCTAAAGATACAAACAAACAATTTTTTCCCCACCCATTTCCTCCTCCCACCCCTTGCGGTCGACTTGGAACCAGTTCGCTGGCTCCCAGTCGATTCTGATCAACGTATTGGGCACCCCTGCCTTAAAATTAGAGCTAATTCGCTGACTGTCTGAGCGCTTAGCGCCATTGTTTGCCCATGAGCGGTGATGCAGTCATCTGATTGGTTGCCCTCAATGTCAATCAAGTAACGAGATTGATGATAGGCTGACGAAGTACGTTCTGTCTAGTTAGCGCCTCAATTTGAATGGCATTGCCACTGCCGAGGCGTTTTCGATGCTTGTCCTGTGAAAGCCCGGGAGCCGCATTGAACCAGCCAAAGAGCCGCATGCGGCTCGTGAGCCGCGGGTTGTCCACCCCTGACATAGACACTACGAAATGATGAGAACGGACAGTCGAAAAAAAAAGTGTGTGTGTATGTGTGTGTGTGTGCGCGCGCGCGTGTGCGTGTGCGTGTGCGTGTGTGTGTGTGTGTGTGTAAGTTGAGGGGTTCGTTGTTTTTAGTGGATAGCTCTACTTTACGAACGGCAAAAGGAGAGATGGAATCCTTTAAATGCAGTTTTATTAAAAGGGGGCAAAAAATGTCTGCACCATAGCACATTCGAGAACACAACTCTCGTAACTAAAATCACTTCCTGCTTCTCGTACGTCAACAGCCAATCAGAACCTATCAACATAAAAACATGTCTCAGCAATTATTAAACAACCGAATATAATTTAGGTACTGTATTCTTAACATGAAATAATATGATGCTCAAACATAAAATGACAATTAATAATATGACATAAGGGACGGCCCGGTGTCCAATAGTCAGCGCGTCGACCTCACAGTGCAGAGGTGCCGGGTTCAATCCCAGTTCCGTCCTCCCTGTGTGGAGTTTGCATGTTCTCCCCGGGCCTGCGTGGATTTTCTCCAGGTACTCCGGTTTCCTCCTACATTCCAAAAACATGCATGGCAGGCTGATTATGTCCTAACAAGCGATTCCAGCTCATGTCTCTTCAGCCTGAACAGATCTGCATTACCTATTCAAACAAAAGTGACAGACCAGAGCCTTGCTCCGCTGGGCTGGTGCACCGTGCTGCAGGCCAAGACAGAACACACACACACACACACACACACACACACACACACACACACACACACACACACACACACACACATACACGTACATTTGCGTTGTTTCCCCCCACCGCGTCTGTATTCCATGGTCCACGATCCATGAAGGTGTTTCGCTAAATCTTCCATCAGCGACTGTAAATAAACCGAGATGGATTCCTAAGCAGCTCTGTGGGAATTGCACTCCTGCCCGTGTCCCACTCCCCCTAAATCAAAATGCACAAGGTTCACCTGGTTCGAGTGGAAGAGGCCACGTGCAGTAGAGGGACACTTATTTCCTCCTGTCATTCTCCGGGGTACAAGCGGGGGTCTGGCTCCAACAGAACCAAGGGGGGGCTTGATGAATTGAAGCGACGGATTTATGACGGACCTGGCAGTTCCTCTGCTTCAATTTTTTTTTTCCTACAAGGAGTTTAAACGTCCTCCGAGGACTGGACCAAATTCATCAAAAAATATGAGCAAGATCCAACAACTTTTCATTTTGATATACATTCAGCATGTGTGAATTCAGATTTTTTTTTTTTTTTTGCACTTTTAATTTAAAACATTAAACTTTTAATGCATTGCTATTTAAAACTGCTTGATGGCTTAGTTAACTACTGTCAATTCATATTGTTATCAGCAGTTTTATTTGTAGTAGTCGTAGTAGTTGTAAAAGAGGAACTGGTAGTAGAGCAGTTGTAGAACTCTGTTGAAGTAATTTGTTATTGTAAGTGTGGTCGTAGTTTTTTTTCAATGGTGGAATTTATATTCTTAGTACAAGTTGTAGTACTAGAGATAATTTTTATGGTAATGGTAGCAGTGGTCGTAATGTGCATGTGTAGCTGGAGTAATTATTGTAGTTGTCGTAGTAGTATTACCAGATGTTGCCATAGATGTAGCCGCTGCAGTGATTGTAGTAGACGCGGTCGTGTTTTTAGCAGTCGAAGTATTTATATTGGCGATAGCTGATGTTGTTATAGTTGTACAAGTAGCAATAGTTATTGTAAGCAGTAGTAGTATTCGTCATAGTAGCAGCAACAGCAGCAGTAGTAGATGCAGTTGTAGTAAATGTAGCAATAGTAGTTATTCAAGTAGTGATAGTTTTCATAAATATCACGGAGGTGGTTGTACATATTTGTGTTGTAGTTGTAAAAGTTATAGTGGTGGTGGTGGAAGTAGCTTTCCTACATCCAGTCCTAGGAGTAGTAAAATAGCAATAGTGGTCACACTTGTAGTAATACTAGTTGCAGTCATAGTTGTATGTGTAGTTGTTGTAAGTTACAGTACAGTAGTAGTAAAAGTAGCAGTAGTCGTAGCGATAGTTGAAATTCTCGTTGTAGTTGTGGTACATGTAGTGTTTATAGTAGTTGTCATCGTTATATTGGCAGTGATAGAGTCGTAGCATGTCCTGTCTGCATTCAAATGTGTGTAAAAGTGTTGCTTCAAGTGCACATCCCTTCATTTCTACTGTGTGTGTGTAACTTATGTGGCTGTCGGTGGGAGCAGCATGGGGTGATTGTGGATTGTCCGGGCCTGGGCATTCCCGCGGTCAATTTGGGGTCGGGTTCGGGCTCCGCCGTCCTTTCCTAAGTGGGCCGAGCCAGCGGCAGGATTGATGTGCGCTGAGATGGAGGCTGTGCAGCCAAAACATCATCAGGACCTCTCCTTGACTTCACATTTTTCTTGGGGGATTGGGGGCTGGTTTTAAAAATGTGTCAGGCGCCATGTCAGAATGAGAGGGACATGCTGCGTTTTTGTTTTGCGACAGCTACTATGAACAAGACTTAATGTTCCAGCTTGATGTGGCCTACACGTGCTGACATTCCACTATCATTCACTAAATTAATGGACACAACATTAGGTACACCATTGCAGTCTGTATGGAAGAAAACATATTTTATGAAGACAACGACTAAAATATACAGGAATATAATTCAATAGAATGTAAAGAATGAAGTAGAGTGTCCATCATGAATAATTCATTGAAGGTTCACGGAAACCCCTTCAGTCTGAAGCTGTGAACATCATTAAATTGTGTTTCAGTTCTACCGTTTCTTCCAGCCCTGGCAAAACATAGACTGGTGGAGATCACTTCCTCGCCTGGTCCACACTAAAGACTTTCTTGCTCATCTGTTAAGTAACTCTGCCAGCTTGCCTGATCTGCTGATACTGCTCGACCTTGCCTATTGCATCAATAAAAGAGGCTTTCTGCCATTTGGGTCAAAAACTGCTTCGGAGCATAACAAGAACAACTTTCACAATCCCAATTACTGTATTTTCATGACCGAAAGGTCATACTTACATTTCCTCCAAAACGGACAGGGCGCCTAATAATGCGTGCTCATAATTGTGTATGAACCATGTTCCAAAATTTGTCAATGCTGTTGTGTGACTTCAATGAGGGGTCCGCTTGAATGACTGAAGTTGTGATGTAACGCTGCTTATACAGTATAGAGGAAAAGTGGATGTAATTGAGGACAGCATGCGGACGTTAAAGTGGGAAGAGCGGCGTGAAAGGGGACTCTCAAGGTACGCTCACAGTAAGTGTATATAGGATAGAGTACGTGAATTGCGCAAAACAACATCACGAAAATGGCACCTACAAAGAGACACACTTACAAAGCACAGTTTAAACTGCAAGCTAACAGTTATGCGGAGGACCCCGAGCAAACGCAAAAGAATTCAATACAATCCAATACAATACATCCTGATTGATATTGCGCTTTCACAACAGCTGCAGCTGTAACAAAGCGCTTAACAAAACAGTTAACATTTAGTAAAATAATAAACACAACGCTAACATAATACACGGACAGTCGTGCAATCCTAACCACTTTTCCCTCATATGCTTTGTTGTTAAAAGCAGTTTGAGATGAAAGAGGAGAGAATCAAAGTGTCCTTTCACCAGTGGATCAGAGACGTCATGTTCAGAATGTGCACACGTTGGCTACAAGCTAAGTTTGAAAATCAACAAGAAGCTGAAGCATCCATTGA